ATATTTCAAAACTTTTTAAGCAATGTTTAAAAAAAAGGTTAGTGGAATTTATGGTATCCAGTCAATTCGTCGCGCGACAATTTATCGCGCGACCTTTCAGAGCCGACAATTCATCGCCACGACTTTTCATCGCTACGACAGTTTATCGCTACGACAATTCATCGCCACAAAAATATCGTATTGTATCTATGATTTATACAGTATGTCTGAAAAACAAACAATTTTTTTTGTGCTATATTGAATTTTTCTTATAAGTACCAAATAAAATTATTTTTCCGAAAAAATTACAAAATATCTTACTCTAAATTACACAAAAATATGATTTACTTTTTTTCTGCTAATCAAGTAGTTTTTACTAAGAAAAATATAATAAATATCAATAATGTATTATTGATAAGCCAATTTAAAGTGTATAAGCGGCAGTCGCAGGTTGTCAACATTCCTTTACCTACTATTTAAAAAGGATTATCTTCATTAGCCAATTCGGGTAAGTTACCACATTAGTTAATAATAATAGAGAATTATAATTATCCTTTATTAATCCTTTCAAGGAGAAATTCATAGTGCAATCAATATTTAATTCTAAAAAGGATTATCTTCAATAGCTTGTTTGTGTTAGTTAGTATTTTAGATGCCCTGTTTATAATATATGTATATAAGGTTTAAATAAGAAATACCAACAAACTGTAATCATTCTTATTTTGTCTTTGTACGAGTTTACATCATTGTAAAATTTGAAAATGCCGTTACAATTTGTTGACAGCGAAAGAGGTCACAAAATGCTTTTATACAATGGCCATACACATTCTAGAGAAAAAAATTCTGGAGAAAAAGGTATTTGGAAATGTTCTCTATATCATAAATGGAGATGTACCGGTCGCATTCATACCATAGGCGATGAAATTGTGAAGAGTGCCGAACATAATCATTTGTCAGATAGTGCTGATGCCGAAATAAGAAGAGCTGTTAAAAAAATTAAAGTTTTAGCTGAACAAAGTGGTTCCACTACTCAACAAATCATTGCAAAGGTTTCCGAGGGTTTATCATCATCGGCTGCAGCCAGATTACCACAAGTAAGTGCAATGAAAAGAACTATTCAACGAAAAAAGGAAAAGACAGAAGGAATTCCTGCGATTCCAAATTCTCTGCTTCAATTAGTTATTCCACAGGAATATACACTGACAAGCAGTGGTCAGTTATTTTTAATGTACGACAGCGGCCCATCAGAAGATCGAATATTAGTGTTTACAACAGCAAGAAATCTTGACTACATGTTGGAGTGTGAACACTGGTACGGAGATGGAACTTTTTCAACAGCCCCTAATATGTTTTCCCAAATATATACAATCCATGGCGTCAAATATTCAAATACCATTCCAACAGTATATGCAATTCTGCCGAATAAAAGAGAAGAAAGCTATAGACGTTTATATGCAGCATTAAAAAATTTTAAACCTAAACTTTGCCCTACATCTTTTTTAATGGATTTCGAAAAAGCAGCGATGAATGCGGTACGAAGTGAATTCCCTAATACTCAAATTCGTGGATGCTTTTTTCATTTTTCTCAGTGTATATGGAGACAAATCCAGAATACCGGATTTCAGAGGCGATATGTGGATGAAGAAGTGTTTTCATCAAATTTGCGACTTCTGGCTGCACTTGCTTATGTTCTTGAAGACGATGTAGAGAGTGCTTTTGATTTATTATTGGAAAGTGAATTCTATGCAGAAAACGAGGACTTAGCAGATTTAATAAACTATTTTGAAGACACGTGGATTGGTAGATTAGACAGAAGAGGAAGAAGACGGTTACCAAAATTTCCTATATCTTCTTGGAATTGTTACAATGCAGCCAGAGAGGGAATTGCTAGAACCAATAATGCAGTTGAAGGATGGCATAACAGTTTCCGTTCAATTGTTTCCATTGCACATCCCAACATTTGGAGGCTAATTAAGGCTTTACAAAAGGAGGAAAGCCTTAACAAATTGAAAATAGAGCAAATTGTGGCAGGTAATGAAATTACTCAAAAAAAAAATTACAAAGATTCTGCACGTCGTTTAAAACTACTTACAGAATCCTACGACGCTCGTAATACCATGGAATATCTTCGAGGAATTGCGCATAATTTTCGAATGCAAGTCTAAATTATTTAATATTATTATATTATATTAATTCAATTTAAAATGTAATAACTAGCAACTACAATTTTTTATAATATATTTTTTTTTCAATTTACCTACTTGTTTTTTATTACCTATACTAAAAAATATATAAAATAAAATTTTGATTATAATAAAAAAAATAAAATAAACCATAAAATTCATTCTAAAAAATGGCTGGCGACAAATTGTCGTGGCGGTGAATTGTCGTAGCGGTGAATCGTCTTGCGATGAAATGTCGGCTCTGAATTTTCGCGCGATGAATTGTCGGGCGATGAATTGACGTAGATCCGGAATTTATTGAACAAAACAAAATATTAAGTACAAGTCAATATGGTCTTAGGAAAAATCTTTGCTGTCAAGATGCGCTTCTAGAAATATTATTAATGGTATTGACAACAATAAAAAATGCCTAGCGATATTCTTAGACTTAGCCAAGGCATTTGACACTGTTGATCACAGATTGTTGTTGGAAAGATTAGAAATAATAGGTATAAGAGGATTAACGTTGGACCTTTTCAGGGACTATCTATCACAGCGAATCCAGTTCGTTAGAATTGGTAGCCTACTTAGTGACCCAATTACCGTTTGTAGGGGCGTGCCTCAGGGAACGGTACTTGGCCCAATTCTTTTTTTAATATACATTAACTGTATTTATAATATTAAAAATATAGGAAAAATTATTTCTTATGCAGATGATACTGTCATTATCTATAAGGGGGAGAGCTGGAAAGAAGTCTTTCTAAAAGCTGAGGATGGTTTGAGTAAGATAAAGATATGGCTTGATAATAGTCTTCTGAGTCTCAATGTCTCCAAAACAAAATTTATTACATTTTCACTAACAAATGCTGATCAACCAAATCAACAGATTTTAAAGCTTCACAATCATAACTGCAATAAAGGACCGATTTGTCAGTGTGTAACGATACAAAAAGAAAATAAAATAAAATATTTGGGGTTAATGGTTGATCAACATCTGAGATGGAACGAACATGTCATTTTTTTAAACAAGAGATTAAGAAAACTTATATATTTATTTTATCAAATTCGAGATATTCTTAAAAAAGAACTCCTACTACTTATTTATAATGCCTTGGCTGAGTCGCTGCTAAGATATGGCATTCTAATATGGGGTGGGCTTCTAGACAACGCTCTCGATGGTCTGGACTCGACACAGAATACGTTGTTAAAAATATTGTTCAGAAAGGACCTTAGATATCCAACAAACCTATTATATAAAGAATTAGACATTTTCAATATTAAACAACTATATATTTACCAAACATCTTTATGGGCAATTTCTAATACTGAAAAACTTCCTAAGCTTTCACACACTGCTTCCACAAGAGCTCTACTAAATAAGCATATGCCAATTTCTCTTTTTAAAAAAATGCACACCCAAAACTTTATCTCGTATTTTGGCCCCAAAATATATGACCTAATTCCTACATACATAAAAAATACTACAAATGAAAGATCTTTAAAAAATGAACTTAAAATATTTGTACAGAAAAACTACAGTAAAATTAAGAAGGAAATATTTAATGTTTTATATTAATTTCATTCTACATAATTACATATTCTTCAGTATCAGATTATTTTATATTTTTATAATTTTTATTATTTTTGCTATTTATTATTTTTGCTATTTTTATAATTTCTGCTAATTTTTATTTTTATAATTGTTTTGATTTTTGTATTTTCATATTTCTCTATCTTTTTCTTTTTTTTTTGTTGTATTTTAAAATTCTAAATTCTTTGTTTTTGTTTCTATAGTATATACTTAGATATTATTTAAACAGCATTTATAAAACGTAAAAAAAACTAATATAAAGATTCCGCACACAAACTTTGTTTAGGCGGGTCTTAAAAAATTGTTAAAAAAATGTAAATTATTTTAATGAATAAATTTGATTTGATTTGATATCCAGAAAACGTCAGCGCAGTAAAAGCTGCGCATCTTTTTTCCGCTTAGGGAGTGTCATTAGTGCTAGAATACTTATAATGTGGTAATAATCAAGGGCAATATACCAAGACCTTGATAATAGTCAGCTGTATTTGTTGAATCTAAATCTCGAGAATATATTAATATCAATTTGATGAGACAAACTTTTTGGTATTAATAATCTAATTAGAGCCCGAGAGCTTTAGCTCGAGAACTGCAAAATGAAATAAATTTATCGTTAATGATCACTTTGCAAACTTGAGAAACCTATACGTTGAGCTAGATTTACACGACAAACCACATTTAATTTAAAACTTAGATGAAAAAGGATGCCAACTAAAACTACACAAAGCACCAGAAGTACTAACTCAAAAAAGAGTGAGAAACGTTCATCTGATTGCCCATAAGTGATGGAAATGAACAAGGAGCATTATCCGGGCTGTGCTTTTTAAAATTTGTGGTACGATATCAGACGTGCAAATATGGCATTCCTGAGGGTTATTTTCCGTACTTATCACCGTTTTATTGAGGGGTTTTGGATTAGTTCATCGGTGTTGTCGACACGTTCTGTCCAGACCAGTTGATTGCAAGCCGCGGTAAGGCATTCTTTTAGACTGCTTCTTGAATTTCTTGTCTTGATTGCAATCAGGATTGATTTTACCTCAATATGGTTCAAAATCGTCGTGACTACATTGAAAAAATGAGGTTGCCGTCGAATTCTGCGAGGATAAACAAATCCTTTAGGTCTAAACTTGGCATAATGATGGTGTTAAATGTTTATTGTTGGTCTTGTGAGATTTGTGTAGGTAAGGACGGTATTAAAGGAGTCAATACCAAGGTTGGAGGTTTAATGATAGGCCTTTGTTAGGGGGGTGAATTGAACATGTGTAACTTACAAGGCAAGGATGATGATGAAGTGCATATTTCAGTGTTCTTTTAATTGTATCTTCTCACTTCTAAGGGTGGTCTTTCTAGATGTCCTTTGGGTTAACTGTTGATTACTTCTGCCAAGTTGGTTGACTAGCGGGCAAACGTTTGAAAATCTTCAATGATTCTTTCACTATCCCAATGACTGCAACATAAATATTTTGGATGAACAAAAGTAATTTTTTAAACAGCACTTTTCTTAAAATAAAAATTGACCACTACAGTAACTAAATAATTAGAACTGATTCTTCCATTAAATAGTTCCTGAATTTATATAAAAATATATACTGAATGTAAACTATAAAAAAATGCAAAATTATCGTGTTACCATTATTGAGAACAAAGTTTACGAAAATGGTTATCCTCTCCAAAACTCAAACCCAAATCAAAAAAAGAAACGAAAAGACGATAAAGAAGACGAAGACCACACTGATTGAAATGTTGTGGTTCTCACAGCTGAAAGTGTCAAAGATCATCTAGTGATATAATCAACGACGCTGATTAACGCTTTGACAGATAAATATGATAATTCTAAAGAAAAATTCATCAAATCGAATATCCATACATCGAAGCAACTCTACAAGCACCAAGCATCTGAAGACTCCAGCAGTGCTGGAAAGAAGCAACTTGTCCAATAGGCTGGGGCCGAAATAGGCATATTTTTAAAAAATATAAAAACTAAGTTTACAATACCTATCAAAACTTACGTTTTGCTGTGCTTACTTTTCATAATTTGTTAAAATTTCTAAATCCACATTTTTAGCCCTCTATCGCCTCCTTTAGGGGTGAAAAGGTAAAGTTTGAAATTTTGACGTACAATATCTAATAAAAGTTACATTTTAATGTTTGTATTTACACTCCTTATTTTTAATATTCTTAAATAGCATCTTCAGCCCTCTACAACTCCTTTTAACCAATATTTAATCCTTTTCTCTTCAAAAGATAAGGTAAAAATTACTTGAACAACAAATAAATATTACACGATTAAAACTAAACAACACACTAATTTAAAAAATGGTAAAAAGTTCCTGAAGGAATCAAACATAAAAGCTTACAAATCAAATATAAAAAGCTAACACATTAAGTACAAAAACAAAATAATAAAAAACATATACTGAATTTTAAACTGTCGTTTACTTTCAACTGTTAGTTTTATTCTTGAGCGAATAAAGCCGTCTATTGATCCTAGACCAATTATTAAAGAAGACGACTCTGTAACTAATTTTACGCATCTCTCCACGGATTGAGCATGGCATGGGAACTTCGTAAAATCAAAGTCTGGAATTTCGGTTTCATTTATAAGGTCCATAAGATTTTTAACAGTAAAATCCCTTAAAACAGGAGGCGGTGTCACAAAGCACTTATTTCAGTAAATTAACTCAAAGTAGTATATAGCACTGAAATTAATTGTTGGTACCACAAACCCAGCTAGCACATAACGTTGCCAAGCCTTTCGGCGATGTTGTTTTAAGGGAACATAATAACATACCCATACAACGTTAATGAGAAGTTGTTGAGGGAAATCAAAACCTCGCGAAACATCTATTTGTTACTTACGTATTTAACCTGCCTGTTATGATAACACAACGTAATTAAGTAACTTGCTAAAAAAGTTTCCACGAGAAGTACTATGGACATAATCTTGTTTTCGAACGTAGCCATTCGTTTGTCATAACCAACAAAACATAAAAAAATGTTACTTGTCACTTTTTCTTGTACGTATATGAGATTTTAAAGAAATTGGAAACTATACGTTTGAATAAGTTTGGTAAGTTGTTTTCTTCTTTTCAATAAAATAGATACATATTTTCTAATTTATTGTCTGTTGTTTTAGATGGTAAAATTTCAATTTCCAAATACAATAAAAAATAAATAATTGTAAACAAGTAGATACAATTAAATGACTGCTTATATTTATTTTACACGATAATAGGGATCTTATTGATGCCTTAATACAATAGAAGTAACGATATTAAACAATGAAAGTATCGATATTTAGGCACTGATACTGAATTACCAATACTATCGCCATAGCGATACTTAGAAGCAAGTATTGTATCTCTATGTGTGTGGTCAGAGATTATAAGGTTTGTTCAAATATTTGTACTGAAATATTTTAGTTTTTGCATGTGGTGAAACTTGGTAATAGGATTAAGCGTTACCACTGTTTTTTTGTTATTTTATTATAAGGTAAATTGCCAGTTATTGACACTATAACTTGTACTAGGTAGAGTACCAGTAGAGAAAGAAAAGGTGTCAACTACAGAATATACTTTACTGATGCACTCTTGTTATTAGTTAAGTTCCCTACTCCGTCTTGTTGAATGGGGGTTGTCAGCCGTTTAAAAAAATCTTTTACTTTTTCGATACTTTGTTACTCGATAAATACTAAATATCAATATCTTTAACATAATATCAAACAGTATCGATGCCTCTACCACAAAGTATCTCACATGATACCGGTATTGATACCTTTGACCGATACTCATAACCCTACTCCCAACTATAAAAATACAAAAACAGAGAAGTCATATAATGCCATCCTAACAAGAGAAGTCCTATCTGAAAATTTATATTTATTATCTTTTAAACCTTTTTTTGTGTAACTTTTTAATATTTTAGTAACTTTGTTTTGCAAATAAGGCATTCCATTTCAGTATCGAGAAAGATAAAATGTAGACAAATGCATATAAAAAAAACTGCTAATTTTGCAGATAAAACCTTTCTTGCTAGAACGGCAGTATAGAAGTGCTCATGTAGTTCACTAAAGATAAATAACATTTAAATTTGTTACGTTTCAGTAAATTAAGTATTACCATTGCTGGACAGTAGTAACGTTTTGGTGGATAAATACAGCATTTCACTGGATATATACCTATGCCATTTTGCTGTACATTTGCTGCACAATACCAATTGCTGGACAAACTTTAAAAATGCTTTACAGTACAGAAAAATTGCTGTAAGTATGGTCGCCCTAGTGTAATAATATTTTAATCACTAAAAATAAATTTTAAAAATATTGTGTTTTAGGTTTCCTTTGTGCTGGATTATAATTCTAGTAAAAATCTCAGGAATTTTAGAAGCTAAAGTTAATACAGAATATATAACATCTGAGATTATTTCTTTTTCTTTCATAGCAGAATATCATGCTAAAAAACATTGTTCTGTATAAGTTGAACATCCATTATTAAGTATCAAATTTGTAAAAGTCAAAGTAAATGTTATTATTTATTTTAAAAAACAAAGTAAGTAAAAATCAACTAAAAATAGGTGCAACGATTTAAACGAGCATATTTTTCATTTTCTTTATATACACTATTGGACAAAAGTGAAGCAACTTTTATGATAAAATCAAATATTTAATTATTTAAAATAACACGATCAACCGTGAGAATCAAAATTTATGTAGTTTAAGTGGTCATAATAGGCTGCTATGATAGGTGAAATGGGATTGTTTGCAAATGTCAAATAAGTTAGTATGTAATAATTTATTTCAACAATACCCTTTATTATCGCGACAAAAGTATAACAACTTTTATGAAAAAATTTTGTATTTCATTTAACAACTGAAAAATCACAAATATGGTTGAAGGGTTAAAACAAAATAAGAACAAATTCTTAATAATTAATAGGATATCCATTATTAGATATAACTTTTTGGCAACGGCGCGGCATTGATGAAATTAAGTTTTGGATAGTAATATCCGGCATATTAATCCAAACTTCATTAATTTTATCAATTAAGGACTGTTTATTTGGGAATCTTGTAGTCCGAATACGACGTTCAACCTCTTCCCAAAGGTTCTCAATGGGGTTGAGGTCTGGTGATTGGGCCGGCCACCTAAGAACCTGGACATTGTTCTCCTGAAACCATTCCTGAACAAGGCGAGACGAATGTTTCGGATCGTTGTCCTGTTGGAATATAAATTGCAAAGGCATCTCCCGCTGAGCATAGGGAAACATAACGTTTTGGAGTATGTCTCTGTAGACGAAGCGATCCATAATTCCGTCTATAAAATGTAGTGGGCCTACTCTGCTCCACGAAAAACAACCCCATACAAATACACTACCTTGTCCGTGCTTTATTGTTGACGTAACATACTTTGGGTGAAATCTCATATTAACCGGACGCCTGACACGCTTCATTCCATCAGAATTTTATAAATTTTCAGTTCAAATGTTGTTGCGCAAATTTAAGTCTGGCACGGCGATTTCTTTCAGAAACCAACGGTTTCTTGGCAGGACGTCTGCTATAAAGTTTCGCCTCAACTAATCGTCGTTGAACAGTGCTCGCACTGACTTTCAGTTCGGGAATTTCAGCAATTATCCTTGGTCCTGACAACCACGGATCTCTTTGAGAAATTCTTTTGATTCTCCTATCCATCCAAAATGTAGTTTTCCTGGGCCTTCCTGATTTCGGCATTTTTCTACATGTCCTCTTTCATTATAACGTTAAATTATTTTTGAGACACTATATTTGGGCAAGTCGAACTGTTTGGAAATAGCAATCTTACTCTTCCCTTCTAAAAAGGCGTTTACGACCATTTCTTGTACCTCCGTAAAGATTCGTTTTTCTTTTGGCATATTTAATTCTGTAAATATTAGAGCTGTTAAGCTTAATTGAATTGAAAAACGTCATTTTAGAACTTTACCTGTATCATAAACCCTTTTCCTGTAAACCAAATCAAAGAGTTGCTATACTTTTGTCGCGATAATAAGAGGTCTAGTTGAAATAAATTATTACATACTAACTTATTTGACATTTGCAAACAATCCCATGTCACATATGAGTGCAGCCTACTATGACCACTTAAATTAAATTATTTTTAATTTCCATGGTTGCTCATTTTATTTTAAATAATTAAATATTTTATTTTACTATAAAAGTTGCTTCACTTTTGTCCAATAGTGTATATTATTTTCTTAATAATAATTAAACAAGTAAATTTATTATCTACAAAGTTATTTTTACGGAAGAAACTATGTAATTAAGTTCACATATTTATTTGTTTACAGTACGCTACGGATACATAAAGTTCTAAATGGTTAAAATATCAAAATAAAATAAAAAAGAAATTAATAAAATTGTCACAGTACAAAAATGAAGTCAATAGTGTAATAAAAGTTGACACTTTAAAAAAATAA